TTTTTTTTTTTTTTTTTTTTTTTTTTTTGTCTTTTTGAGACAGTGTCACTCTATAGCCCCAGCTGGCCTGGAACTCCATATGTATATCAGGTTGACCTTGATTTTAAAGATAGTTGCCGGCTTCTGCCTCTGAGTCCCAGAACTAAAGGGGTGGACCACAACATCCAGTTGAAAGTTACTCATTGCTGTGTGTTAATTTTGTATCACAATGCTTTGCCCCAAATATCTGTCAGTTCTAAGATTTATTTTTGTGGCGTGTGTAGAGTCTCTTAAATAGAAATATGTCGTTTGCAAATAGGGATACCTCAGCTTCTTCTGCTCCTAACATGTATCCCTTTATTTCCTTCTCCTATTGTCCATGCTACAACTTCAGGTTCTTTGCTGAACAAGAGAGGGAAGAGTAGACTTTCTTTTTTGTTCCTGGTCTTAGTGGGGATGCTTTGAGTGTTTCTCCATTTAGCATGATGTTGCATATATGTTTGCCATATATTATCTTTATTCTATTATGGAATTCTTCCTCCATCCCTGACCAGTCCATGACTTTATGACTAAAAGATGTTGGATTTTGTCAAAGGTCTTTTCCACATCTGTTGAGATGATCATGTGATTCTTATCTTTGAGTTAATTCATATAATGGCTGGCATTTTTATTATTATGTAGAATTACGAATGTTGAATCATTTCTGTGTCTCTGGAATAAAGCCATTAGGACATGACAAATGATCTTTTTTATATGATCTTCAATTTGGTTTAAAAGTATTTTATTAAAAAAAAACTTTGCTTCTATTTATCTGAGTGACCAGTCTGTGATTTCATTATCTTTTATGTGTCTATCTGATTTTGTTACCAGAGTAACACTGACTTCATAGGAACTGGGAGCCTTCCTTTCTTTATTATTTTATGGAGTAATTTGAATAGAATTGCTACTATGTGTTTGAATTTCTGGTAGAAATATTTGGTGAATTTATGTGGACCTGAAATTTTATTGCTTAGATTTTTATTATTGTTTCAGTAACATTGTAGGTTATGGAACAATTTAAACCACTTTTTCATCTTAGCTTAATTTTTGCATGTTATATGCATCTAGAAAGTCATTCACTTTAGTTTTTTCATTTTAATAAAAAAGAAGTTTTTAAGGTATGCCCTTATAATTTTCTGACTTTCATTGGTACTTATTATAACATCTACCCTTTCACTTCTGATTTTATTAATTTGGGTCTTTGTTCTCTTTCTTTTGTGAGTTTGGCTAAGGGTTAGTCAATCTTGTTTATCTTTTCAAAGAACTAGTGGTTTGTTTCATGGATTATTTGCATTATGTCTTCATTTTGATTTCATCAGTTTCAGTCCTGATTTTTTTGCAAACTATTTATTTTTAATAATATTTTCATTTATTCTTTGAGAATTTCATGCAATGTATTTTGATAATATTCAGATGTAGTCTGTCAGCTTCTCTCAGACCTACCTCTACCTCTCTACTCCCTCACATCATGCCCCCTTATTTTTAAGGTTGGTTGAGTCTAATTTGTGATGCTCCAATAATCTTAAGTGGGGGTCCATCTCCGAGAGTGTGATCATCCTGCCTGGCATCAAACCCTTAAGGAAAATTGACTCTCTCTCTCAGCAGCTATCAATTGCCAATAATTCTTCAGCTAGGCTTCTGGCTTCTCTTCATGCTGGGATTTTGTTTGGCTTGGGCATGCTGTGATAAGTGCTGTGAGTTCATATGTGCAGATGCCCTGTTTGCTCAGAAAGCACTATTTCCACCACAAATAGCTCTTATGCTGTTTTCAGCTCTCTTCTCCAATGATCCCTGAGCCTATCACTGAACAATCTTCAATCTCTTATCCTCTGAACTTTTACCAGTTACCCATCTCTGTAATATAAGAAGAAGCTTCTGTGATATGAGTTGAGTCATGCAATAATCTATGGATATAGCAGTAAGTCACTCGGAGTCAGCTTAATACTATGTCTATATGGCAGAATAATAGTAGTAGGTTATATACTGCATTAGTTACTTTTCTGTTGCTGTGATAGAAACACTGACCAAAGCAATTTATAGAATGAAGAGTTTTTTTGAGCTTACAGTTCCAGGGGAATTACAGTCCATCATGGCAGGGAGGCATGGTGGCTGGAGGTGGCTGGAGCAGGAGCAGAAGAAACTAAGCTCTCACATCATCAAGCAGGCACAGGAAGCAAGAGAGCAACTGGAGATCTGGCAAGGCTTAATAACTTTCTAAGCCCACCCCCCTTGACATGCTTCCTCCAGGATAGCTACATCTTCCAAAACCTCCCAAAACAGCATCATCTGCGGACAAAATGTCCAAACACTTGGAGCCTACGGGGGACATTTTCATTCAAACCACCACATATACTATGCTTTTGACTTGCCAGATATGGGATCCATCCTGTGAAGTGGGCCTTAAGTCAAACCATAAAGTAGTTGGTTACTCTTATAACATTCATGTGTTACTGCACCAGTGGGCATGTCTTGCCAGACCAGTCATTATTATAACTTCCAGGGTTCACAGATGAGTAAGACTGATGATTTTTTATATTTACTGACTACTTTTGGATTGAAGCCTATTTGTCAACTATAGAATAGCTCTCTGGTCAATATATTTTAGAGAACTATCCCACACCTAGCCCAGGGATTTGGGTTTACAAACCTGACATCTGGGAGTAGGTTCATCCATCAATGCATTGTAGCTCTATTCAAGCTTATTTTTGTTTGCTTATTTATTGACATAGTTTATAAAGCAGTAGTTAGGTAACTACTACTATAACTATACACCTTTTTCATAAATCACTAGTTTTAGTTAATCCTCCCTCTGATCCCTGTCTTTCCCCCATCACCTACCCCATCCATTATGTTTTTACACCAAGTATTTTACTATTTACTTATTTTCTTTTCAAATATTTTATTTATTATTTTTATTTTATGTGTATGAGTGTCATGCCTGCATGTAAGTAAGTGCACCCATGTCGTGCAATGCCCACAGAGGACAGAAGAGGCTGTTGGATCACCTGGAAATAGAGTTATGGACAGTTGTTAGCTGCCATTTGGATGCAGGGATTCGAACCCGGGTCTTCTGCAAGAGCAGTCAGTGTTCTTAACTGCTGAGCCATCTCTCAAGCCCTTATGTTCTTTTTAAATAATTATGTTTATACCAATAGACTGGTATAGCTGTCAACTTTGAGAAGTCTTTTTTAGCAGCATGTGACTGTCAGAAGCACAAGCTCATAACTCATCAAATTCTGGGAATAGGGACAGCTGGGTGCTCAACCCTAAGTGGGACCTCTAAAACATCTACTCTGAGGCTTAGAGAATGTCATGGGAGAGAGGGTGGAAGACTCATGAGTCAGAGGCCAGAGAGAACTATAAAATGCTCTCTTCTGCATATGACTTGGCCATTGTGATCACAAACAGTAGCTGTGGCTTCCTGCACATGCTCACAAATGTCATGAGACACTGAGACATTTGTGATGAGCAAACTAGATGAGAATTAAAAGGGGCCCAGCAGAAGTGAGATAGAAATACAATAATAAATAACATATTAAGAAAGATAAGGTAATAGAATATGAACATAACAACAGAAACAATAAAAAATACAAAATATAGGGCGTTATCTAAACAGTCAACATACAT